ACGACTCTCTGGCTTCTTTCCTTCAGCCAGCGTAGTCCACCTCACTCCCCGTTTGTCCAGTATGGACATACACAATGGTGCTGAACACACACCTGACCGCTGAGCAACACGCTCCGAAGGAAAACAGAAAGGTGCTTCGCCTAGAAACAGTTCAAGATCATTTTTGGGTACCAGAACCATATATAACATTAAGAGAAAACTAACGAACAGCAGCTTCCCCAGACATTCTTGCTGTCCACCACATGCGATGATGCAATTCACAGCTGAGCAGCGGCTGGCAGAACAGTGCTATTACCAACTGGAGCAACAATTAATTGGCTCTTGTGTTATCAGGGTTTCAAGGACCCTTCAAAGTGCAGTTGCTTTGAGGGGAAAATGCACCTGCTAGTTGAGCTGCTTTTTCCTCTCCTCTTCACCTTGACCAGAGTATTTTTAGCTGCATGGACAGGCTTGCCAATACTTTCACCTTCAATTCTTCGCAAGGAAATTTCTGACGACGCACAGCAACGAATGAACCATATCTATCCAGGGTCAAGGCAGGAGGAAAGAAACAACGTGCAAAAGGCAAGTTCCCAAAGGCTTTTTCAATATTTTTGCCTTCCGTATTTTAGCTCCCCTTCTTTCCACAGCCTCTACTCACACAGAGAGCTTAGTAAGTTTGTACCCAATTTCAGTAAGCTCAGAGTTTGGCCTAAGGTTTTGCTGAACAACAGCACAGCTGGCACACTTGCACACAAATGGCTCCCTCAAGCTAATGGCCTCAAGTTGGAATACTAGGAGGAACTGGATATTAGGAAGAATTTCTTCACTGAAAAGGTTGTCGGGCACTGGAAGGGGCTGCCCATAGAGGTGGTTGAGATGTTTAAAGACCAGTAGGTGCTGTGCTTAGGGAGATGGTCTAGCTGCAGACTTAGTGTTGGTTCAGTGGTTGGACTCGATCTTAAAGATCTTTTCCAACCAAAACCAGTCTATGATTCTATGATAAGCTACTCACGTGCTTTTGCGGAAGGAAGAGTCACTTGATTACACTGAGTCTCCTGGACCTACCAACATAAGTACATTTGGCAGAAAATGGCCCAACATTGTCATCTCAGAAGGCAGAAAAAGTCCTTATTCAAATGAAACAATCTCTCTTGTCTGTTCATCTCAGCAGGTAACATGTCAACTTCTGTCAAATCAGTGAACAGAAGTACTTGCTCCCATCTGAGCACAGGAGCAGTAAAGAAGAGAGGGAAGACCACGCTCAGGAAGTGCTGTTCTTATTAATTCCCCTGACGCTGGGACCACAAACACTTCATTGAATTGCTACAAAAGCTGTTACACAGTAGACTCTGTGCTGAGCTGACAGCAGCAGACCGGGTCCTGTGGGCCTGCAGGTCACTGTTCAGCTGTCCCAAACGGACACAGCCTACTATACACCGGAGAGTGTAACGATCATCCCTGCTATTATGCTCAGATCTGCTGATCTGGGTAAATCTTCCCGAAATAAGCAGATTTCCATGTAGCAGGAAGATGACTAGAGCTAGTAAACTCCAACACACACATTTTAATGTCCTTTATGTACTGCAATTTTACGGGAACCTTTGAGAACCAGTGCTATGTGCCACATGGGGATTTGTGACACTTCCTAGGCTGCCCTGAAGTTCTACGTTTCCTTCAGCAGCCTGCTCTCAGCGTAAATGCTTCACTAGGAAAGCTATTACTTCAAAATCTCTCCATTTCTCATAGCATCTTATATTCACCGCAGGATTGGCTGTCCCATTTGAGAAACATTTTGCTCTCCTCTTGTCATTAAATTTCTCCCCACGTGGAAAACTGGTCCAACTTGCTGGACTTTATACACCTTAATATACAACATAAATATGCTCCCAACACACCCAGAACCCACTCTATGGACCATCTTAAGCATTTCAAGTCTTCTTGTAGTAAAGTATACCTTCTTGTAGTAAGGTAAGAGTAGTTAAGGTGCAGAGGGAAGAAAAAAAATATTTCAAAATGCATTCTTAACCAGGTACCTTTTCAGATAAGGCCTTTAAACTGTCTAGAAACCTCGGCCAGAAATCCTTGAAGAGGGGTCGATCGATTCTCTTCAGGCTCTCTTTGGTGCTGGCATCCACGCTGACATACAGCTGCGTCACTGGCTCAAGGTTCCTTGGAAATAAAAAGAAGGGAATTGTTTTCAGACATTGCTGCTACCTGAATTTGTGCTTTCCAACCAAAGCACTCATAAAATACTATATCTCTGAACAAGCTGGTCCAGCAGCAACAGCAACTATACAGTATTTACAGGGAAAGCCATCAAAGTCCAGTGGTTCATCTCTGCCAAGCGACTATCATCTTAATAGTAAGACGTTACAACCTACTTTCAACAAATAATACACCCCAAAGCTAAGAACATCACATACAGAGACCTTGGCTGACACTTTAATTACCTTTTCTCCACTGAACTGGAACATATCTCACTACAGTGTAGCTGTGACACATTCAGAAAGGCTTCCCAAAGCTGACAGTGGTTCACGCGAGGCACTGAAAGGCTCTGCTGCTCACCACAGTCCACAGGCTTAAAAACTGTAAAGCTCAGCCCCTTCTCCAAGTTCTATTTGCCCTGGCCCATGGAAAAATAATCCCATTCAATAGAAATACAGCCATAATTCAGCCAGTTTCTACTGCTGGACACACTGAACCTACCCGACCTGCAGCTGGCATCATCACTTGAATAATTTTTTGATGGGAAATCAAAGCAGTTTAGAAAATAAAACCACACACAGTCCCCCAACACGTTTCCCTTCCACTTCCAAGGCTTTTATTTCATATAAATCCTGCAGTATAGTCTTTGTGGTCACATAATGCCAGCGAGCACAGCATCTGTGAGCCCAATGTCAGCAGCTTCCAAAAAGATTAAACCTCCTCTGCTGTGTGAGGAGCCTGGGTCAAGTCTAATCCCTCCCGTAAACCCCAGGGGTACAAAGGGGAAGCAGCAACGCTGCAGTCCATTAGCAACGGGACAACAAAGGGCATTAAGAGGAACAACCTGAAATAAGCTCCCTTGTCACAGACAAAATGATAAAGCCAGGGAGCGTAACACACATCCACCCCTCGTGGCCGCTTCCACGCTGGTGTCTCCAAGATGAAATGACAGCAGCCTAATTGCACCGTGTAACTCTCGAGCTCTTCACAGTTTTAGGACAACATTCTGCAAGCGTTTGTGAAGGCTGTTAATGAGCAGGCTGTAGTCCCAGCTTGATTTGCTTCCTTAGATGATAGGAAGAAATTAGAAACTATTGTTCGGCTGTCAAAAAAAGGCCAACTAAAAATACACCAAACCTCCTGCCCTCCCTCAAAGGTGACAAAAGCTGTCCCAAATGAGACTGAGCAGAGCTCTTCAGTGTTCGGAAAAATCCAGTTACCACACCTTACAAGATGCAGTGCAACTGCAGTTGTGACCCAGCCTGAGCTGGCTTTTAACTCCCCACAACTGAGTGACCACCAGAACACATGGAGCCCAGAGTCATGGACTAAACAAACTGAATGGACGTTTTGAGGACGTTTATGGACATTTTACAGGCATTTCACTGGGGTGGTCCATAGACTAATGGAAGGATATCTCTGTGCTCTATCAAGTGATGGGAAGCGGGGCAGTGGCTAATGAGAATGTATTGGGTAGTGTAGGACCTGAGCATGATGTAAATGGTACGGAATAAGGGGTGGAGAACATGCTGGTTTTGGCTTGGATAGAGTTTATTTTCTTCCTAGTAGCTAACATGGGGCTATGTTTTGGATTTGTGCTGGTAACAGTGCTGATAACAGCTTCAGTCATTGCTGAGCAGTGCTCACACAGCATCAAGGACTTTACTGCTTCGTACACCTCCACATCAGCGAGGAGGCTGGGGTGCACAAGGGGTTGAGAGGGGACGCAGCTGGGACAGCCGACCCCAACCGACCACAGGGATGTCCCACACCATATGACATTATGCTCAGCAAATCAAGCCAGAGGAAGAAGGCGGAAGGGGGGACATTCAGAGTGATGGCATTTGTCTTCTCCCTGCTTTCCCAGCCTAAGCATATTCTTCCTCTAGGTACTTAGACAGAAAAATGAAAACCTAGAACAAATTTATCATTTCAGGTTACAAAAGCCTCTGTTTTGTAAACAAGCTTGTCTGGACTGGCATCCCAAAGTCACAATCTCCAACAATGACCAAATGTTCTAGGCATAAGTGGATTGAAGTATTCAGTTTCAAAGAACACAGCCAAAATACTCTTTTCTTTCCTTAATGTTGCATTTGCCTAATTAAATGAGACCCTGCTGAAGATGGAGCAAATGTTTTTCAAAACATGAGCTGATAAAAATAATCTCTGAGGATATGAATCCTAAGGACAGACAAGAGCCAGACTCGACACTTTCTACTAGAGAAAATGAAGGAATCAGAAGAGATCCCAGGGAGGGATTTCTGCCCCACATTGCTCCAAACCAGAGTGGTCCACGGTGCTCTGCCATGGCCGGGACTGGAGCTGGGACGATCTCATGCCTGCTGTGCCACAGGGGAACAAGCAGAAAGTGCAGCCACGGGGCCAGGCAGCAGCCGGGAGAAGCAGAGCAGAAGCTGATGTTTCTGGAACAGCTACATGTCACAGCTAACAAGAAATTTAGTTGCATGGTACTAAGATGGATTTTTCCAATGTTCCTCCTTACTTTTGGGTTGTAATTTCCAAGCTAACTTAGACAGCTGAGATCACATCCAGGAGATGAAATTCACGGCATTCACCACATGGGAACTTGGGCAGAAATGATGATGACCAAGTAGCACAGCACAGCTCAAGAGCAATAAATTGAGTTCAGGTCACCAGCCATGAGGTGGTTTCACAAGCCAGGCAGGACACAGCCCAGTGATACAAAGAACAGAAACATCAATAATCATGAAAATGAGCATTTTTGCTTATGAATAATAGTAAGCACTTGCTCATTATTGTTATTATTGATGCTCATAAACGCAAACACATACACAAGGGTTCCTGTTCACAGCCACAAATCAGAAACAAGAGGAGGAAGAGGACAAGAGCCAGGCAACTGTTTGATATGAGCTCATGGGCTATGAAACCTCCTTCACATAATGAAAACATGCGTGTGCCTGGAGGCTGATTAAGCTGCAGTCCAGATACAAGAGGCGGAAGAGAGAGGAAGGCACAGGCAGCACCATGCTGCAGACCTGGTCAGCACGTCTGCAGAGCCCATGGGCCCCTCTCAAACCCAGCGACACCTTAGACCATGCTTCCCATTTGCACGCTGTATGCCCAAGGACACGCTGCCTATTTTAGGAATTACTTGTAGACTCCAGCTCCCCTCTGCTGACAACGAAAAAGTGATCTTGGTGCATACTTCAGTTCCCATATTAAGCAAATCATTCGCTTTGATGAGCCAAAGATCAGCTGCAACTTTTAAGACAGCAGGACTAGCGTTTTATCACTTTCTTTGTTTCTTCTTAAAAACATTCAGCAGATCCTGAAAAGCGCAGCTTCAAAATATAGCGTGTGCTCTCTTTTTAAAAATGTTATTTTTAGGAAAGCTCAATTTCTGTCTATCAGGCACATAATACATGGCTTAAAGTAACTTGATTACACAATTATTCAATCATTTGGAATGCCTTTGTAGTGTATAATTACTCACTCAAAAATTGCATGCCCCCCCACCCTTCACTGCCATATTCAGACCAGAAGAAGGAAGCGAAAATGAAGCTCCAGCAGAAAGTGCTAACAGAGAGGGGCACCGAGCCCGAGGGATGCACTGAGCCCACATCGCAAAGCCACCCTGCGCACAGCTCTGCTGCCGTAGCTCCAGGACCAGACTCCATCAGTGTTCTTAGCTGACAGTTTGCTGACGAGCTCCCAACCAGCTCGCACCACGTGCTGCGTTTCCTTCCTGCATCGCTTCAGGTTTCATTAAAAGCAGCCTGGATGCTTAAGAACATCAGAAACGGAGATTCTTTGCATTTGTAAAGATGCTTTCAACAGAGTGCATTAAAACACTGAATGTTTGGCTCAAGTACCTCCAAGAAAGAGGTTAAAAACTACCGATCCCACTTTTGCAGTCAAGTGTGTGCTCTTCACCCACTCTCATCCTGCACTCTATGTCCTGCAGGAGAAGCTGGGCTGTAGAGATCTTTGGTTTGAGCCATGAAGGCTGGGCTGATGGAGGTAGAACAAAGACCGGACTGCAAGAGAAGCACACAAACCAAAAAGGCAATTTAGGAGCTTAGTCTCCTGCTCTAGCTGTCAGAAACACTCATGCCAGCTATCCATGTCCCCAAGCACAAAACGCAGCTCACTCACTATCCTCCTTCCCTCACACTTCCAGGAGGTACTATATTACATCCTCTTCACCTTTAGAAGTAATCACACTTTGTGTAAGAGCTATAGAAAAGAAAAATCAAGCTGGGAGAGAGAAAGAGATGAGAAAAAACACAGGGAGATTAAGGTTAAAATCAAACAGATGCCGAGTGAGTTTTTTCACTGTCAGTGCTTGTGCAGAGCTGACTCTGATGAACAACAAAATGGAACTAAACCACAGGTCAGCCCTCAAATGTTTTAGTAAGGAGATATTTTATCCAACTCTTACCTAATCTCATCTGGGAACTGTGCATTTGTAACCAGGAAACTGGAGATGCTGTGCTGGTGCAGGAGCTTCACGAAGCCGTTGATCTCCGGGTACATGATGGGCTCTCCCACCAGCGAGAGCGCGCAGTGCTTTGCTGTCATCGCTTCCTCAAAGCGATCTGCTTTTACTCCTGACACGCCTGCAAAAAGAAGGAAAGTAGACTTAAATCAAATAAACCCCCTCCCAAGCCGTGCATCTGTATCTAAAATGCAGGCTTCACCAAGCGGAGCACCAACAACCAGCTCTGAACCTGTGTTGGCAGCCACACAAAATGCAACTCCACAAAGGATGCACTCAAAAAGAAAACCCAACATGCGACACCGGCCTGGACGGCCAGAGACATTTCCAAACAAAGAGGAAAACAGAAGAAGCTCAACTGTAGGATCCGCATGAAAATGTCATCTGCAGGTTCAACTGACCTGAGACACACTTCCTATACCCACAGAAGGGCAGGGGAGAGGCAAGTATTCCCCCAGCCCATCCGTATCTGACCCCATACAAAATCATCTGACTACAAACAAGCTTTTGTTCCAAATATGTCACTTCACATTTCCTTGACGTCTCTCGATGCACTTGAACAATATGTGAGGTTTCAGATTGGGAGTCGGTCTGGTTTAAAAAACAAAACAAAACAAAACAAAACCCCAAAGACTTGAGTTCAAAACCAGGTCCTCAGCTCACCTCTCGTTGCCTAGACGCTGGAGCTCAAGCAGTACAGAAAATTACATGCTATGCTGCAAAGCCAAGATAAAAAGAGGTGTCCATGGATATTGCTTCAGCCTCACGTAGAAAAGCTGGTTTGTGATCAGAGCAAAGCTTAGTGCATTTTAAACAAGCCAGGCTCAGTCCTGAATAAGTGTCAGGACTAATGGTTATTCCACAAAAACCTGACAGTACTAAATGAGAACTTTATCTGAAAAGAAAGAAGCATCTCAACCACACACAGAGATTAAAGGACTAACTTTCATACTGCTAAAGCTACTGTAAGTCATTTAATTAATTTCTCTCTCTCAGCATTTTGCAATTGGACTACAATAATACCATGCCAGCTTTATAAGCAGGCAGAAAAAAATCCCAACGTCGTATAAAGTTTGAGTGTAACTTTCTCAAAACAGTTTACATCAAATCTTGCATACAGTAAGTACACTGCAGAAGAGGGTAGAGGTTTTGTATGCAGTCATTCAGCCACATAAATCACAAGCTAGACAGGAATGAACTACACAGGATTAGTGGAAATTACAGGGAGAGCACGAACTCTCCTGCGCTTTTGGCTGCCATAACACTACAGTGCCCAACCTCCCCTCCTGTGGATCTGCATCTTCTGCCTCCAGTCAACGAACTCCAGCGAAGCCGGCACTGGGGCAGGTTCTGCATGGCTCACAGCAGGGCCCATGCAGGAGCTCAGAGCTGCAGGAGCTTGAGAAGTGGTGTTCAGCTTTCGGCTCCTGCTAAGCTCAGACTTCAGCCAAGCGTGCAGCCGGGCCTCCTCTGATCAGCACATCTCCCAAAAGAGCAAAGTCCAGCTGCCGTCCTACTGGTGCAATTTAATTTGGGAATGAAAAGCACAGTGTGGTGCGTCACCCTCGAGAGGCTGGCTGTTGACTTTGGGTGCCCTTCTGCAAGTACCTGCCCACCAGTTGTTGAGAGCAACTGGGTGGACAGGGAACCTGCTTTATCCACCCTTACAGCAAGGCACACAGGTAGCCTCAGGATTTTGTAATTTCAGGTTATGCATTTCCATTTGTTCATTCCCCTCCTCCCCATGCTGAACCAGGGCTGTACTATCAGCGACTCCCACTCTATTATTTTTTGAATTACGTTTCCATTCTGTGTGTGCCCTTCGCAAGGACACAGAGATTTACTGCTCACTACCTAGAAAATGTATTCATCAAATAAACAGCTTCACATCTCAGCTCCCTATCAGTACGATGTCTCTCCATCAGTTACTCTCAGAAAGAATTATGTGACATTAACTAAACACCTACGGTCTTCAAAACCAGTACAAACTGTGGCAATAATATGAGAGAAGATGACATATCATCATCTAAAAGCAAAGGACTCATACAGCATAGAGGGCTATCCTCTAGGACATCCCATAGGACAGAGGGTCCCTAAGAATTCTTCTGTTCCTTCAGAGATCTCATTTTTACTACAACACGTGGAACTCATCAGGCAGATGTGCTCACCATTTTCTATGGCACACAGAGATGTCTGTATCTGTGTACCTGAATGCAAAGCTGTGGTACTAGTACGTGACACAGCAATGGTTTATTCAAATTGGGTATTATCTGAGCAGCAATCAAGAGTTTTGAGGGCTCTAGCTGAAACATTTTCCCTAGGCAGCTCTTCTCCAGTAGCCCCAATAGTCCAGCCCGCTCTGTGCTGGGGGTCAGCATCCAAACATCTCAGCAGATGTGGGCACCCCCTGCTGGAAACTCCTCTAGGGTCTCCATGGCTGCCTGGCCAGCACTACAGAGCCCAGCCCATCCCACTGATCAAGCGTTGGGGTAGTTTGTGGAGTTTTAGCATGTTTTGTTCAGTTTTTGTTTTGTTTTTTTAAAAATCAATCATAACAAGCTCCAACCTGCTCTGTGCAGAGTGCTGCCGGACTTGCTGGAAGCAGACAGTCATGTTTCCTGCCTGAGGCACTTCCAACCTGGACAGAGCACAGCTCCGGCATGGCACGCAGCAGACTTTCATCCTGCAAGAGACACTGCGCTTCTTTTAACTCTCTCTGGCCTCAGTATTTCAACTCAATTTTGCTTTCACTGATTCTACTTCAACAATATTTTCACTTGCACCTCAGGGAAGGCACAATGTGAAATTCACACAATGTAACAGAGCTACTGGGCTCTTCATACTGGTTTTTCTTCTCTTTAATAAACCTTTTGCTTTTAGGCTCCCAAGACAGGAAGCATGTTGCCATCTATCACACCGAAAAAGTAACACATCTTTTCTTTTTCCACTTTGCAGCACAGTTCCAATCCAGAGTCTTTTTTTAATTATTATTATTTTATTTTTTTTTTCAGTCTTTCTCCTTTCACAGTTCCAAGTCAAGTGTAACCATGCTGAGGATGCACAGGCAAGGTTCAGGGAACATTTACGAATTTGTGTAATGGAAAAAAAGCTCCAAAAGAGCAAATTGGGATGTCCTCACAGGCCTCTCAATGCTTTGGAATATTTTGAGATGCTGCCAGCTCCAGCTATAATTCTTCCCTCTCTCCAACCCTTTCTGGGAAGGCACCCAGGGGCAGTAAGGGAAGGAGAGGATTATTCCAGAGTCTGAAGTTGGGTTTAACCTGTACTCAGCTTTCAGAAGATAGAGCTTCTGAGCATCTGCAGAACATGTTTAAGTGTTTCAGTTTTAACAGTTGTAACAAAAGTCACAGAAGTACTGCTGGGGGAGGACAAATGCCAACACTGGACCCAGGGAGATAATGGTTTTACTTGAAATACCTGAAAACCCCCAAGGTTGGAGGGCCTCCCACCTCTCCGGGCACCACCTTGGCTGTACAACCTCATTTTGATGTCTAACCTGAACTTCCCAAACAGAAACCCAAGTCTGTTGTCCCTCGTTCTACCACAGCTGGTCTCCCAGCACAGACCAACATGGGGTTATAACACTCAGAGAAGCTTCCAGTTCTTCCTGAACTCCACACGCACTCACCAGCCCCCAATGGCTGCTTCTCAGGGTCCCACCAAAGTAAAGCCATGCCGATGAGCGTGCCTGCCACCCTCCCTCAATCAGCGTGGCCTACAAAGCTGCCGAGGGTGTATTCAGTCGCATCATCCCCATCAGCTGTTGATGGAGATGTTGCACAACATCTGTTCCCAGATCAACCCTTGAAGCACCCTGCCTCTTACCAGCCACCAAACTGACCTCGAGCTATTGACCACCCGATCTGCTAACACTGTCCCTGCTCACTGCAGGGAGGGTGGACCAGATAATCTTCAAAGGTCCCTTCCAACCCAATACATTCTGTGATTCTGTGGTTCTATCACGATCCTTCCAGTGTGCCTGGTCTTGTTTCAACTCAGCTGAGAGCCTGGCTCTCCAGAACAGACTGAATAAAAAAGCAGAGTTTAAGTGCCCAGTGCCTTAAGCATTAACCATGAATACTCTTGTTTACACCTGTAACAATCTTCTCTTGTTGTTACAGCCTTCCAGACAAAATTTGACACCCTACATGCTCTTCACTCATGCAAATCACCTGTATCCAAACTCCTGCTGTGCTGGCACTGCACCCTCCAGCCGATTTCCCAGGCAGCCATGAAACTGCAGTAGCTCTGGCACAGCCAGCACTGCCACGAGCATCCTGCCTTAGCTCAGCACCCTTCCCACACTGCCCACATGGCTGCAGCACAGAAGAAACAGGGAAGGCAGGGAATGAGACCTGCACTTCCTCACAGCCTGCATGGCCTCAAGCACCAACAGCTGTGCTTTGCTTCAGCTGAAGGCAGATGCATGAACACCACCAACTGCTTCCTCCTCTGACTCCTCAGCCCACTACCTCTTTTCCAAGGAATTCTCCTACCAAATTAACATCATTTTTCCCTATCCCAGTACAGCACCTTCACTGCTTTGCCCTGAGCTCTGGACCACCCGTGTACAACAGGTAGAGTGCAGCCTCTGGTTATTCTGGCTGCTTCTCATCCAGCTCAGCATGGGAGCGCTGAGGGAACTGGTTTCCCCTGGAGCTGTTGGTCTGAGAGTACAAGATGATTCACAGCAGCCACTTGACGGCAACAAAGCTCATGAGGCCCTAACTCGAGTTCTTTTTCTGCCTGTTATATAACCCAGTGAATGAGACAGCACAACCCAGCTCTGCTGGCAGAAGGGTCTGGGGTTTTCTGCCTGTCACATCCTTAATCCATTGGGTTCTCTATGTGCACAGCCAACATAAACAAATGGGTTCCTAAAATGACAGGCAAGACTAAGGCTCATCTTGCACATTTTATGGATGCTTCATTCCACTCCTGCTGCTCACAGAGCCTCTGCTGTCAGTTAGGAAGAGCAGAGTGCTAGGCCTGTCCTGCCAAGCTGGCCGGCCCTCCCAGCACACAAAGCTGATCTTGGCAGGGTAACCAAGTTTATAACATTTGGGGAAAATATTTAGAAAACCCAACCATCTCTATATATAGATAAACAATGAATAAATAATGATGAACTCACAAGGAGTTCATATGAGAAGCAAAGCCATTTTCAGAGGTGCTGAGCAACTGTAGCTTCAGTCACAAGCAGATGTACTGAATAAATCCTGAAAATAGTAATACCCTGAATGGTACTGCTCGCTCATTAATGAGAAAAAATGCACTCTAGAAGTTTCAGAGCTAATACAGATGACAGTACATTTCTTGTCAGGTTAGAAGTTGACTTCTTTTGCATTCTACCTGCCCTCACTTTTATATAAGAATCCAGATTCCTCATCTTCCAGGTTAGCTTTAACCACTGCAGAAGCCTCCATGCACACCGAGGAAAAGGATGCGACAGCTACCAGGATGCACAGGAGGCAACTCCAATTCGCCTCCTCAAGGCAGCAGCAGACACCCCACATCTGACTTGTGTCCTAGTGTCAAAAACAAGGCAGACCATCTCAGAAAACAGCCAGCGTGCCACAGTTTCCTCCCACTTACCCATCTTTCTGATATGGTACATCGCATGCCTCCTTCGCAGCATCTCGTAGACAACCAGAACATTTTCATCTATGCTTTCAAGGTGCTGTTGCTGGTTATCTTCCAAAAGTATCATTAATGGGGAAAAACTGGGAGAAGTTACCTTTGAACTGCTTGATCATATTCTGATGGTTCTCAATAGCCTCTTGCAAGATCTTTTCTGGTCGGTCCATCTTCCAGCGCCACTCTGTGCCCACTGGATTCGTATGATGTCTGAAGGAAAGGGACAGTTATTCACTGCTGTATGTAACATACATGGAAGAACCCATCTGTCACTCTGGGGACTTTGGCATTGTTTAATAATATTAAAAAAAATTCTCAGCAAGATTCTGCTTCTGATGCAACTTTCTGAGATCTTTGAACACCATTCTCATGCCCCTCTCCTTCCAGGCTCTAGTCTCCCCAGAAAGAAGAATGGACCTTGCTGTTTATATTAAACTTAACATACCTTTTACCTGTAATTCAAAATAGATTTCTAAGCTAAAATGATCCTCTGCCAGAAAGACCTCCATAAAGAAAGGAAAACTGCTTCTACCTCTTCTTCTGACCAGAGCTGCGCAAAGCACTTGAAAAGGAAAGCCCAAAGCCATTTTCAGTTCCACTGCGAAGGTATCAACTGCTGCCTTGAACTTCCTGGGAAGAACAGGATTTGTTTCTAACCTAATCTTTGTGTAATGCTCTGGTAACAAGACAGATGAGGGCAGACCTCTTCAAAAATTTAAGAGGAGACCAGGAAGTCTCCAGTACACCAGAGATGCATTGCTGGTGGATCTGGTTGACACCTCCCAGATTTACTCAGTAGGGGCTTCTTGTCACTTCTGAGATTTGTTAGCTACTGAGTTACTAAAACCTAAATGCAAAAAAATAAACATAAAATTTCAATTTCCCCGATTTCAGGATAACAAACACTGAGCTTCCATCTAGCGACAGCTTGTGTCACACTGGGTTAGGAAGTCAGCCTTGCCTACCTGGAAAAAGGCCACATTTTGTTCTCTTCAAAATGAAAAAAGCATAGCCAGGGAAATCCATCACCCAAGCACCTGGAAGATACCTGAAGTTTCCTCTTCATTGGCATGAGAGGATGTGACAAAGCCACTGTAAGTCATCTGGACAGAATACGTCCTGACCAGCAAATTAAATATCACAGGCAACTGCTGTGGTACCACCATGCCTGCACCTAGACAAACACAACCCAGCGAGGGTATGGGGAGAGGAATTTCCTCGCTCTCCTTACTCCACTCAGACTGGTATAGAACAGGGATCATTCAGCCTTTTAACACCATAGGAAAAACAATTAACATCCGTGCTTTCACCTCAGTCTCCATCTTCTGCTTTTTTTCAAAATACACCACAAAAGTTCCTTCACTTTTTTACCCTACCAATTCTGAATAGAAAAGCTTACGTATAAAAAAGTGTCTTATATTTTGCAGTGTCTTTCAAATTAGCACTAGTGGATTAACACAGGTCCAGACAAGAACACAAGATCAAGCAATACATACGCCCGAAACTCTGTTTCCTGACCAGCTGGGTCTCTGTTTCCCCTGGTTAACCACAGAGATGACCATCAGGGTACCTGCCATACTCAGCCTTCCAGCTACACGAGCATCAGGACATGACACCCAGCATGTAACTGAAGGAGAAGACAGAGATAAGCACTTTCCCATAACAAAGTGGCTGGCCTAGCACCTGCTGGAGACAACCAAAACGCTCCTGCTGGCTCCAAAGGAGAAAGACCTGCAGCTCCACGCTTTGCTAGTGCTAAAACACCCAAATTCTAGAGTCAACATCAATAAAAACAGCCCTTTAGCCCGAACATTTCTTCATCCACTTCACGAGCAAAGATTTAAGTGCTGCTCTCAAACTACTTTACCATCTCAAAGATCCTTTAAGCTAAAACAGCTTTGCTTTTCAAATGTCCCCTTTTTTTCCTCCCCTGTCTGCCAACATGGAAAGTTTTCTGAAGGCCAGCTATAAAAAGGCATTTATAAAACTCTTACATGTTTAACTACATAAAATGTACCTTGTATATTTAATAGGGCAAGTTGGCAGAAAATCTATAGGCTCTTGATGCACACTGGACAGCTATTAATTATTAGTGTCTAACAGCCCTTGAATTTTAACACATTCTAACTGTTTAATAAACACACCAGGTCATGTCTGCAGAGCAGCTTATTTGGCAAAAAGCAGTTTCTTTTCTAATAGGGGGTAGAAAAACAGTATCTTGTGGCTGATGGGATTGTTTCACAGTCCTTGGCACAGACAGAATTTCACCTCCCCATTGCCCTGGGATCCCTACCCCATCCACCTCACTGGCTACTCAAGTCTCAAGCAGGTAATGTGCATGGGATTCCTTCCCTACCAAAAAGTACACAAGCAAAAAACCCCACATTTCACCCATAATCACACACGCCAGAAAAACTTTATTGTATTAAAGATTCCAGGTGTGAACCAGGCTTGATTTGATACTTCAGAGAAGCCATCACTCCAGAGGACCCCACCACCATGGAGCTATGCCAGGCTGCAAAAACACTACGGGGAGCTCCCAGCTCACTCCTGGCTAACAAGACTGCCTCCAATCCACCCTTATTTACCCACCCAGACCTCTGAGCTACCAGTATTATTTGCCAGCATCACCAAAGTGTCCCTGGCAGCCAGTCAGACCTCTATGAAGGTTTATGCTTTAGTGGAGCAGTGCACCCCCCTCCCCAGCTGCTTGTGTGTTGTTTTAATAAATCAGCTTTAGCTTTACACCCTCTAAAAGTGGTTACTCTCTTCTGTGAGCAATGCTTGGTCTTATGAAGTCCTCCAGAAATCTTTGGGGGAAAATGCAGCACAGGTATGAGGCATCATTTACTCCAGTGATTGATGTTGGTACCCGGTGGTGCACAGGACGGTGAGGATACGCTGGTGGCAGTGATCATGACAGGACAGAGCATGTGGTTCCCAGGAAGGGACAGGAGAGAAAGAGCAGAACAAAAACAAGAGTTCATGAAAGGAGACTTCGAACCCTGAGAACCATCAGGTGAGATCCCAGCAGAGAAGAGGTAAGGGTAAAGGAGCTCAGAACTAGCAGGTTTTTAATCCTTATTAGGGCAGAAGTGCAAATGGCGGCAATAAAAAAGCAAAGATATGAAGAACAACAAGAAGCTAACCTGGCAGAATCACTGTTTCTTCTGCAACCTTGTGATCCTCCAGCTGAGGACAGAAGGAAGAGAACAAGAACATCAGGTCCTAGTCAGAAAGGTCAGGGCAGAGAAATCAGACACAACTAGCAAAGGCCATACGAAAGGGCAAACAAGAAAGAGTTTCCTGTAATGATGTGAGGAGCAAGAAGACGACCAAGGAAAAAGCTTGTCCGATGCACAAGCAAACAGTGTTCAATGTTTCTCTGTGATGGCAAGAAACCTTTTGCAACTTTTCTTCTACTTTCTCCTGATGGCAATGGGAAGAACCCAGATTGGACTAGCACGGGGATGGGTTAGAGATATTTAGTCTAACTGAAATGTTTTCACCAGGATGGTTAAACTCACCCTAGAGAGCATTGGATGAATTGGCTGGCAGTATAAGAGTCACCAGCAACAAGTTGGAAGTCTGTGATGAACACATAAAAGTGATTTAAAACACACTGGAAAAGTGCAAACGCAATGCCCACTTTAGCAGGAGCCAAAGATTCCTATATCAGCTCCTCTGAACCTCCAGTTCTTCAGGACATACTGGATTAAATAAGTGTCTGTGAGCTCCAGAGCACAGCACTGAGACAGGCAACGCGAACCTGCTGAGAGCGCTTCATGCCAAGACCACCACTGGTCCTTGTAGGCAAAGCGAAAGGAGAAGAGGTTGAGCTTTTGACACCATCTTACCCAACCTGTCCAAAGAAATGCTCTGCACGTAGCACATTTTTGTAAGAGAGCACAAATCAGGGTGGAAAACGTAAATCAAAGGTGAGTACCACAGGCTGAGTAGGACACTGGATCCATCCCCAGAGGCAGCTGCAGGGTTGTGTCCTGGACTGGGCCTGTTCAGCAGCTCTGTAGAGTTGAATGATGGCTCAGGAGGCAGCTTCACCACCTCTGAGGTGCAACCAACCTGGCTGGAGATGCAAACTCAGGGAGGACAGCGTGCAAGTGAAAAGATCACCACGGTGACGGTACTACATGGTCATAGACTTGCATGGGACTGCAAAATGCTTTGTGATGGGGATAAAGCAAAGACTTGGAGTCTCAGATTTACGTTCTACAAATCAGGTGACATTCCCTTTAAAAAGAAAAAGAAAGAGAAGTTTAGATAGGAAAAACAATTTTAAAACCCCCATCTAGACTGCTGGCTGAGGAAGAGGAATGTAACATTTCTGTAGAGATTTCCTGTTAAATAACAGGCAATTATTTCTCATGTTGTTCCGAGCAATCTTTTACTAGCTGTAGGAATGAGAAAAACAATGGTTTATTATGAATAAATTCAGGAAGAGAAAAAAGCTTTTCAAAAGGCATGAAATTATTTCTAAATGGTGATAAATTTAAACAATTTTAGAGAAGGAAAAAAAAAATTGAGAAATAAGGCTGAAGTCAAATGCTTGGATATCTGAACATCCAAAGAAAACTCGTTTTAAAAATGGCAAAATATTCAGCATTTTCAAAAGAAAATCTGGACTTCTCATGTTTTAAAATCAACTTAATAAAAAGATTTTTTTAGAAGCAGGTAAAAAAGCTCAAAATTAACTGATGAATTTTAGATTAAACAAAATAAATCAACCTGTAAGTTCTACATTTTCACTAGGAGCGCATCGTAGCTAAACCCTCACTAACTTTCCAAGGTTTTTCAATTAAGCTGCTCAATCAAAATAAGTTTAGTCTTTTGTGAGATTACCTGGTCATATTACAACATCCAGCAGCAACTCATGAGAGCACCAACAGTGAGGACTTTACACCAGGTTGGTTTTGCCAGTTTCTCTGAACTGAGAGAAGAATGAACTTTAGAAGATGTTTAGAAAAACTGACTTCTGGTACTGGCACTGGTGAGGCCACACCTGAAATCCTGTGTTCAGCTTTGGGCCCCTCACTCCAAGAAGGACATCGAGGGGCTGCAGCATGACCAGAGAAGGGTAACAGAGATGGTGAGGAGTCTGGAGCACAAGAATGATGGGGAGCGGCTGAGGGAACTGGGGGGGTTCAGCCTGGAGAAGAGGAGGCTGAGCACAGACATTATCGCCCTCTACA